TGCTTCCCTTTCACTTTCATTGAATAGTTTGAGGAGTGTCGGCATTAGGTCTTCTTTGTATTTCTTGTAGAATTCTGCAGTGAATCCATCTGGGCCTGGGCTCTTCTTGGTGGGTAAGGACTTAATTACATTTTCAATTTCAGTAACAGAGATTGGGTTATTCAACAGTTTTACATCCTCTTGATCTAGCTTTGGCACTTCATATGCTTCTAAGAATCTGTCTATTTCTTCTGTGTTATCAAACTTTTGAGAGTAGAGGTTTTTGAAATAGGTGTTGATGATCTTCTGTATTTCTATTGGGTCTGTAGTGATTTCTCCTTTTTCATTTCTTATTGCATGGATTTGAGCTTTTTCTTCCCTTTTTTAATAAGGTTGGCTAGGGGCTTATCGATTTTATTTATTCTTTCAAAGAACCAACTCTTTGATTTGTTGATTCTTTGGATTGTTTTCTTAGTCTCTATTGCATTGATTTCTGCTCTGATTTTTATAATTTCCTCTCTTCTTTTGGCTTTGGGCTTGACTTGCTCTTCTTTTTCTAGCTGTTTGAGGTGTAGCATCAAGTTATTTATTTGTATTCGTTCTGTTTTCCTGATGTGGGAACTCAGTGCAATAACTTTTCCTCTCAGGGACGGCTTTCATTGCATCCCACAGATTCCGGTAAGTTGTATCTGCATTTTCATTTTCTTTTAGGTATTGTTTGATTTCTTCTTTAATTTCTTCTGTGACCCACTGATTACTCAAGAGTGTGTTATTCAGTTTCCATGTGTTTGTGGGATTTTTGCAGTATCTTTTATCATTAATTTCTAATTTCAGAGCGCTATGATCCGATAACATGCAAGGGATGATTTCAGCTCTTTTGCACTTGTTTAAATATGTTCTTTGAGCTAATATATGGTCTATTTTAGAAAATGATCCATGTACTGCTGAGAAGAATGTGTATTCTGATGTTGTTGGGTGGAACATTCTGTATATGTCTATCAAACCCATTTGTTCACAGGTATGATTCAGTTCTGTTATTTCTTTGCTCATTTTCTGTCTGGTTGATCTGTCCCTTGGTGTCAATGGAGTATTAAGGTCTCCTGTTACAATTGTGTTACTGATAATTTGAGTTTTCATTTCTGTTAATAATTGTTTTATATAACTGGGTGCTCTGGAGTTTGGTGCGTATATATTTAAGATAGTTATCTCTTCCTCTTGGAGTTTTCCCCTTATGAGTATGTAGTGACCTTCTTTATCCTTTATGATCATTGTTGGTTTGAAGTTCACGTTGTCTGCAAACAGAATGGCTACTCCTGCCTTTTTTTTGGATTCCTGCTGCATGAAGAATTGTTTTCCATCCTTTGACTTTCAGTCTGTGAGTATCCTTCTGGGTTAGATGGGTTTCCTGTAAACAGCATATGGTTGGATTTTGTTTCTTGATCCAGTCTGCTAGTCTGTTTCTTTTGGTTGGTGCATTGAGACCATTTACATTAATGGTTATTACTGTTAAATGTTGGTTAATTGTAGGAATCTTATCTCTCTGCTGTTGCATCTTTATCTTTCTGTTCTGTTTAATTATTTGCTTTGCTTAGAGGTTTTTTCCTTTGTGTATCTAAACTGTCTTTCAATATTTTTTGCAGCGTCGGTTTGGTGTTCACAAAGTTCTTCAGCTGTTGTCATGGAAGTATCGTATTTCACCATCTATTTTAAATGATAGTTTTGCAGGATATATCAGTCTAGGTTGGAAATCATTTTGCTTTAGGATCTGGAATACTTCACTCCATGCTCTTCTTGACTTTGTTTGTGATGAGAAGTCTGCTGTGATTCTGATAGGTTTTCCTTTATAAGTGATCTGTCTTTTCTCTCTGACAGCTTTTAATAATCTATTCTTGTGTTGGATTTCTGGGATGGTGATTATTATATGTCTGGGTGTAGTTTTATTTTGGTTATGACTGTTTGGAGTTCTATATGCTTCACTGATCCTGATGTCAGTTTCTGATCTCATGCTTGGGAAATTTTCAGCTATTACTTCTCTAAACATCCTCTTGATATCCTTTATGTTGTCTCCTTCTTTTTCATTAATCCCTATCATTCTTATGTTATTCTTCTTTGCATCGTCTTGCAGTTGTTGAATTGTTGTTTCCTGATTCCTTGTTATTTTTAAAAGATCTTTCCTTTCCTGTTCACTAGCTGTGATCCTGTCTTCAAGGTCTGAAATTCTATCTTCACTTTCATTAAGGCGGTTTTTACAACTTTCAGTGGAGTTTTTTATTTCCTGTATATCTCTGTGCATCTGCATTATGTATTCTGTTTGTTTCTTATATTGCTCGTCTAGGGATTCTGTTTGTTTAGTTCCTTCAATTTTTTATCTGTGTTTTCTTTAGATATATTTAGAATCTCTTTCATTTCTTTTATCATTTCTTCTTTTATCTGGGATATTATTTCGAGTTTGAATTTGTTTAAAGCTTCCTGGAGTTGCTTGTCAACTTCAGTAGCTATTGTGTCTGATATATGAGGTGGATGGGGTATATTTTCTTCTAAATACATTCCTCCTAGGGTTTCCTGAGATGGGCTGGAGGTTTGAGGTCGTAATTTGGACTTTCGTTTTGTCATTTTCCTATATTTCTGTGTTTCAAGTGTTATTTGAAAGCTTCCTCAGGATCTGTTGAAAATCCCCTTCTATGTTTGCAGCTACTGAGACTCTGGCACCACGCTACCCCAAGCCATTGGGCCTGCAGAACCAATGGCCCTCCTCTGCTTGTTCAGAACTCCGCAGTTCCAGACAAGCTGGGCCTCAGGGACACTGTGCGCCCACCTGCCCCTTGGAAGATCCACAGCTCTTCAATCGCAGCCAGGTTAGGGTACTCACCACAGGCCGCAGTGCCTCAGGAGCCTGTGATCCCTCCCTGCTTGCAGAGATATCCACAGTCCTCCAGACAAAGGAAGGGGCTTCTGCAGGCACTCCAGATCTGCCCAGCTCCTCCTCTGCAGGACGATGGCTAGGCGCGGCTGGGCTCGGGGGATAGTGTAGGCCCGCCCATCTGAGATGACATGGTCTTATATTGAAACCTCCAAAAGTCTATTAGAATAAATAAATTTAGCAAAATTGTAAGATAAAATACTAATGTACAAAAATTAGGATTTCAGGGGCTGGAGATTTAGCTCAGCGGCACAAGCGCCTGCCTTGCAAGCAGGCAGTCGTGAGTTCGATCCCCGGTACGGATAAAAAGGAAAAAGAAAAAAAAAAGCGTTTCTATATGCCCATAGCAAATTATCTTAAAAAAAATTCAAGAAAGCAATCCGATTTACAATGGCTGCAAAACTTTGGTATTTTTAAGGACTGTTTTTGTAGGTATCACAAAGTTTAGGAGTTGTGTTAAACCGAATAATTGTGACTGGTTTTGATAAGTGCATGATTATGAACTTGGTAGTTCTCTGGTGGCTCGTAACTTTGTTGTTTTCAGAGATTAGTTTATACATGTCAGAACTAATATTTTATATATATATATATATATATATATATATACACACAAATACACATATATATATATATATGGCTGTAGCAGAGAAAAAGGGGAAACATCACTCAAATGTCAAATGTCAATTTAAAAAGCCTAAATTTTGACTGCATGTCTATTGCAAAAACTCAAAATTAAGGTGTACAACTATAAAGATACCTACTTTGTAAAAGCCCCAGGTTTCACTACAGAAAATATATAAAGAATGCTGACTAAATACTGCCTTTCATCTATTAACAAGAAATTAAAATTTGTTTCATAAGAAGAAATAAAGAGACTTTACTATCTAAGATACAAGTTTTCTTTTTTGTTTTGGCACTGGGAATCAAACTCTCAACCTCACACTTGCCAAGCAGGCACTGTGCCACTGAGCTATATCCCCAGCAATACATTATGTATGTTTTTGTTAGATGAAAATTACTCCACCAAAGGGTCATTTTTAAAAATCATCTTAAAGCACAACAAAACAAGCTAACATATAACTCAGACAAACATTATTGAAAGCAGTTGACAAAATTGGTCCTTAAAAGGAGAAATACAATATTTGGTTTTTGCATAAAAAATCAAAATGAATAACATAAAACAATTCATTATAATTCCTCTGTTGTATATTACTTCGTATTTTAACAGTTTATTGAATTTGTACATATAGACTTTTAAAATAAAAAATCAATTGTTTGACCTTTATTTGAGATCATTATTATCTAAATGGCTAGAAATCAATTATAATGGTAGCTATTGTGAATACCTAAGAAAGATTATGAAAGCTTTCTTCCATACGAACTAATAAAATTATTAAAAGTTTTCTAATATAGCCATCCTTTGATAACAGCTGGAGTTTGGTTCCTTGAGTAAGAAGATAACAAAATTTGAAAATGCTCAAATTCTTTATATAAAATGACATAAAATTTGCACATAACCTTTGTAATCCTCCTGTACAAGATATACTCTGAATTATTTATAATACCTAGTATAGTGTACATACTGTATCAATAGTTGTTGTGCTATAATGTTTATGGGATAATGAGATGGAGAATAGTTTATACATGTTATACTACAGATACATTCTTTTGCCCTGAATATATGCAATTGGCAACTGGTTGAATCTACAGATCATGGATATAATGGGTTAGTGCAATTATTTTTTTAAAAAGAAAAAATAGATAATTATAAACGATTAAGGTATTATGAAAAGATATCCCAATCATGTTTGGTTTACAAATAACTTTTTACAAGAAATACAGAATCTGTGTCATCTAACTTTGAAATGTGTCTGCTGCTGAATGGTTAGGGGAATGTCCTGGAGAATCAGGACAGAAAGAGGGAAGGCATAATGTGGGCATTATCTACCTCTGCGGTGGGAGCAAGATATGTTGTGAGAACCTGATCCTTATACATTATCTTTATACATACTTTCCCTTAATCTAAGAACTATTGCATAAAATTCATTTTCTGTCACAGTACATTCAAATATACAACGTACACAATGAAGAAAATAAAATCTCTGATACAGGAAACATTTATTTCTACAACAAAACAATACAGTATGTTATAAAATATTATTAGGTATACATTTATAACAATTTAAAGTAACATATAGTGGCTAACAATAAAAAATCCACAGCTTACAAGTGTATGTTGGTTCCTATGAAGAAGTCTTGTTATATCAAAATATCATTATACTGATTTATCCTTACAACTTTCTCAAGAAAATAATCAGATTGTTAGCACTTTGGTAATTTTCAGTGGCCTGATTATTCTCTGAGAAATAGAAACTTCTTAAATTATAAATCAGTTTAATGTCAACCATGCTTCTTTTTAAAAACATGATGTTTTACTTCAAAATCAGTGTTTAAAAATACATTTTATCATCTGGTAGGCAATTTTATAATAAATCTCAGTGCTTTCTGAATATCTATACTCATAAGATTTATATAATTGTTAACATTACCTGCTTCTCTTAATAGAATATCTAAGAAATAATATTCAGATGTATTAGATATTTTTAGTGTAGTTATAGTTAAAACTATAATTGCAATAAAAGACTGCCTTTTATTATTATTAGTTTTGAACATCTTCTCACTGGCTTGAACCACTGGTGATGCCCAATGACTGACTGTTCCATTGGCTTGTGGTAGATGTGGTACAGTCATTCCTGGGATGGTCACGTATTTACCACTGGTGTTCACACCTCCCAGCAGAGACATGAATTATAGCCCCATCGTGGATGTGTTGCTAAAGACTGACTTTCAGTGGATAAAAACAGAAAATTCTAGGATATTGTTACTGTTTAAGCTTCATTAAGAGAAACTGATAGGGACTTTATTTTTAATCAGTTGAAAAGATTTCAATGTTTGGAAAATTTTTGTTAAAACTTATCCATGTATTATTTTGATCCATTTTCTGGGCATCTGGTGCAGTAAACCTTTGGAATTAATCTTGAAAAAATAAAAATAAAGACTTCTAGCACACAAATGATTCATTTGACACAATGTGATACTTATAGATCACAAATATTTTAAATTGAAAGATACAGTGAAATGTATCACATTTTTAAATAGGGGTATCATTATATAAATGGGAATATATATTATAATATACAAGAATTTACACCATTGTCTTCTCAGGAATTACTTCAAATATATACAAGCTTTTGTTTCCATGTCTGTAATATCTGAAAGGATGAGTGCATGTTCTTTGCTATTGTTGGTAGGAAATAAAATGTTAAAAGACAATCCAGCGATAGAATTAACATTTTTTCTTAGCTAATAAGGTCTGATGAATATTACATTTTAAGACCTAAATAACTGAATAGTAAGATATTGACAAAGTATCTTGAAAATAATAGTATTTGGTGCATCATATATTCCTAACAATTGTGAATGTTTTCCTAACAATTGCGAACATTTTCCTAACAGTTGCGACACAATCATTAACTTTTATAAAAGTGCTTTCAATAGTTTCTAAAATCTTGAACACTATACAGCGTAGTGGAGCAGAAACCCTAAACATGCGAAACACCTACCATGCAGTAGTTTATGAAAAATGTTCAAATGATGGTACATACCATGCTGCAAAAAGCGTCTTCCTGACACAATATCATTCACAGTAAGGCTTAAGGTATATAACTATATAACTTAAAACAAATAATTGACTATTATTTAAAGTGGTTTTAGATTCACAGCAAATCTGAGAAGTGATTATTTTCCGAGAACTGTATCACTATGGGAAAGTTACCTAGTCTTTACTAAAACAATAAAGGAAACTGAATCAATGAAAAAAATTGGAAACAAAATCCCTATAATATATTTTTAGGCCTTATTTTTCTTTGTTAGATGTACACAGAGTCCTACATCTTTGAGCCCAGGATCCAAACGGGAATTAGCTGTGCAGTAACTACCTTACGTAACAAAAGCAATTATGTACTATGAAATTAAATTAAATTTTCATCCTAGCAGATTTTCAATTTCAGTCAGAAAGAGAACAAATAATGTCACAGACAACGTTATTTACACAAGTTTGATCTATAATACTACAATACTATCTTTAAAAAAGTACAAAAAAAGGGCCTGGGATTTAGCTCAGTGGCATAAGCACCTGCCTGGCAAGCGCAAGGTCATGAGTTCTATCCCCAATAACAAAAAAAAAAAAAAAAAAAGAAAAAGAAACTTTAAGGTAACAGTAATAGATATTGATTTTGATAGTATTGTTCCATAAATCAAAAAACAAAAGGAATGCATTTTTTGAAATTAGGTAACTTTGATAACTACATCTAATCAAGGCCTTAAGAAGCAGGCATCATCTATTCATCTAAGGCGTAAGTTGTTCTCTCTTTACTGTATTTCTCTGACCACTTGCGAGTTAGTTCTAGATAATGGCTTGGTTTATGAGGCCGGTAATCTAAGTACACTGTATTACTCGTTCTTTTGGGAACAGCTTTCTCAATCTGGGTTCCTTCATGCCACTCATTAAAAGAGGTGATAGAAATTAAACTTGGATGGGTCTGAAGTGCAGCATCCAAACTGACTTCGTAATACTTTCCATTGACTCGGTTCCGCGTATTCTGAGAGTTCCAGGGTCGGATGCTGGTATCTATGTATCCTGGACCCACACTTGGGATAAACATTAAGTTGTGTTTATCACAAAAGAATTTTAGTTTAGCCCAGTTCTGCTGTGAGGAGCCATAAGTAAAGCCATTTGTAGCAAAATACGTGTAAATACCATCAAAACCACTTTCAAGAATATCATTTTTATGTTTTTCTTCTACTAAAAGTGCAATAAATAATCCATCATAAGGGGAATTGCGAACACTGTGAGACCCTGAGGTGGTTAACAGATTGGCCCATTTTTCAGGCTGTGTGATGTAAGAGTCATATACATAAAACACAGGAAGAGATTTCCCAGTTCTTGTCTTATACCTGTAAAAGGCTGGATGATTTCCATACCTAGAATATAAACATAAGTAAAAGTGAAATAGACATTCATACACATTGAAAATGAAAGTAATCAGTGCAGTTTAACAATATCATGCCCTTCAGGAAGTTAGTCATATAATAATTAAAAATGCATTTTAATATTATACATTACAAAATGTTACTGGATATATTACCAAACAGGAAATTAATTATCTCATACTCAGGTTTACAATGTTGATTACTATCATACAAGTCCATGAATACATGAATCTATAAAATTTTTCTGTATAATAAATGTTCCTTAATTGCTGACAAGTATGATGTCTGTCAGGGATTATTAGTGAATTCCTTTAACAAAATGAAAATGTATTACTCTTTTTTTAAATTATGCTAATAAATGAAAATAGATATAAGTTGTATAAAAGTTGTTCACATTTCAAAATCTGAATCTCTTTTTTAAAAAAGATAAAATTATTTTCATACTATTTTAGAAATAATTTAAAACATCAGTATTACTAAAATCATAAATAACCTTATAAACTTGTACAACAGTAAAAACACAAATCTTTATTCATGCAGAAAGTGAACTGAAGAGAATTTCAGAAATAGGTCTCATAATTGAGATTCATTTAAAAAACATTAAATTTCTTAAAAATGTCAGATCATAATCCATTCAAATTTCTCAAATATTATTTAAACATATTCTTCTATATTACATGCATTCTAAATAGCAATAATTATCCCTGGATCACATAATAGCAATTATAAATATAGAAGAAACTTACTTGTCTATAATATATTTGACATTTTTGTACATGGTTTGATCATCTCGATTGCTGTAGGGTTCTATGTGAAAAGTGACCTAAAACAAAGAAAAAAAATCAATGAGGAAACAGTTACTGAAATAAAAATAAAAACATGAATAGGTATTTTCAAGTGTGCGAGCATGAATGTTACACTTCAATGAAGTGAATAACATAGTAAGTGATCCAATATCTACTAGTGCTACAAAGAACAATTTTCTAAGTCCTTTTTTTTTTTTTTTTTTTTTTTTTTTTTTTGAGACAGGGTCTCACTCTGCAGATAGGCCTAGAACTATGTACCCCAGGCTGGCCTCCAACTTGCAACAGTGATTCTCTGCCTCGACCTCCCAAGCACTGGGACTACAGGCAGGTGCCACTAGGCTCTAATTCTTAAATTATGATATGGCTTGTAAGTCTCACCACAATGGTAGAAGCAGTAGCTAAAACTAAAATACTGTGTACATATTTGATTTTTTTTTATCAAAAATAGCTATTACACATAAATCAAGAAAAAGCAACTGGCTAATAAAATCATTTTGCAAACCACTTCTAACTAGTAATACGGACACTACAGATAATACCTTTAAGAGACAATCTATTTATAATTTTTGAAAGAAAGAATATAAAGATTTTCACTTTCATTCCTAATTTTTTCACATATCAATAGCAAATGAAAATCTCATTATCAAATAAATGTATTTATACTGTTTTACTTTTAGGTATCAGGATCTATGAAGTACCAATGGAACTAGAGACTTCTATTTCATTGCAGTATAAAACTAAATTATCTAAATGAATCAGAATGTATTTTCCATTAATTGATACTACTAGCTTTCACAGAATTAATTTTAAAGTCAGAGTATTTAGTAAAAACATATCCTCTTTCTTTTGTTTTGGAAAATGAAAGCCAGTGATACTGGAAAAATGCTAGCCAGGAAAAAACTAAGATCAAATTCAATTTTTCAGTACATAATGATTCCTCAGTATCCAAGGAGGGGAGCAGTTTCACAACACCTTCAGAGACAACAAAATCTGTGCATGCCCATGTTCCTTATATAAGTGATGCAGCATCTGCCTATAAGCCACATTCATCTTACTACATATTTTAAATGATCTCTAGATAACTTATCATACCAAGTACAATGTAAATATTATGTCCATAGTTACTATGCTACATTGTTTAGGTAACAATAAAATGACAAAGGGCTTTTATTTTCTGTATAGACACTATTTTTTCTCCTGCTTGTTTTCCATCCACACTTGAATCTACACATGCAGAACACACAGATATGGAGAGAAAATGTATATTGTTAGCATTATTAGAGTGGTCAGATCTCTCAGTAACTTTGCTGTTTGCTTCTTAAGTTCAACACAAAGAAAACTGGCAATTGCATAGTTTTCATATTCTTAAATAATGTTATTGCTATGATTTGGATGAGTATCTCTCCAAGGTCCATGTGTTAAATGCTTGGTCTGCATGATGGCACCAGTTGGAGATGACATGAACATTCACGTGGTAAAGGCTAGTGAGAGGTTGCCCTCACAAGGCATGATGAGTCTCAAGCTTCCAATCTCTGTTGGGCTGTGGTGTAGTTTTACCTATGTGCTTTTGTCATTACCTGCTGCCCTTGGCAAGGCCCAGGGCAACAGAGCTACCATTCAATGTTGTGCTGGAATTTCCAGAATGGTGAGGTATTTTTTCTATACCTGCAACCAAAGTGAACTTTGTAAAGTAAAAACCTGTCCATGTGTTTCCCCTCTAACATGTCCATTCTCTACCTTTATCCCAGCATACTCATTTCCTGCTACAAGAATAAGGCAAGTCATTTTGTACACCTATATAACGTTGTAATATAGTACTTTTTACTTCTTGCAAATTATTTGTGTTTGCCTCTGATTTTCAATAAACTGCAAAGTCCCTGAAGGGCAGAGATAATGTCTTCTTATATTACCTGCATTTGGAATACACTTACACTAACCATATCTAAAAGAGTACCTGGCACATTGAAGGTACTGAATGAATGCATATGTAATGAATTGATGAATGATTTCTATGCAAAATTAGTCAATAGTGAAATTCTAGGACTGTCATTTATACTCCATTTAGGTAACATTCACCAAGGTTGCACTGAAAATTCACATTCATTTAAAAATGAAAAAAGAAAAAAATCATAGGTAATGCTTCAATGGAATCATTTTAAAAAGAATCACAGACATACTGTATAAGATTCACATGGTAAGAAATGCATAAGGCTGAAAAGGAGATATAATCATAGTACTAGAATCATATGCAAATAATACTGGATGCATACAAAGCAACACTAGCAGATATTTGACTTACACATAAAATAGAAAAACTACTTTAGCTGGGCGTACTGGCATGCGCCTGTAATCCCAGCACTTGGGAGGCTGAGGCAGCAAGACTACTGATAACTGGAGACCAGGTTGGGCTACAAAGTGAGTTCAAGGCCTGCTTGAACTGCATAGTGTCACCCTGTCTCAGAAAGACAAAACAAACCACAACAAAAACTTTAAAATACTAAATTTATTAAAATGCAAGATGACAACTATTAGGTGAGTTGACTGTTTTTCCTCTAATCCTAAAATTGATAATTCAAACTGATTTTATCAGATGTTTCACTTAATTTGGTCATATTGGTGCAAAGATGCCGAGTAACTAGGGGTCTGTGAAGATGGTGAAATATTAAGCAGCACAGTAAATAGCCTCTTTGAGAGAAACAGTCCAGACGCTGGAATATAGCATTCTGGAGAAGACAAAAAGGAAAGAAGTGGGTCCCTTTAACCCAGGAAGAAACTAACATGAAATTGAAGCCCACAGAGAGAAAAAAATTAAAAAAACCTAAACAGAAGAAGGGCTTAGCTGGTGGCACTTTCACTGGAGCTGGAACCATGGTGTCAAAAGTGCTGTTGGAACCCGGAGATACATGGGCACAGTGAAGCTGGTGGCTAGCAAGCCCAAAGGCCTTGGTAGGGAGACGTGGCAGAGGACGGGAGCAGAACACCAGAAAACTGCACTGGCTGGAGGTGAGTGTGTGGGACTCCATTTTGGAGTTGGGCAGGATAAGCCTGGAGACAGAACTGCAGCCAGCTTCATTCAGCCACTGCTACTCAGAGCAGACTGTGGGAGTTGCTTGGACTGAGTCCCACCCCTGTGCATGGTCCATCAGCCACTGCCCAGGTTCTCCTAAGGCTATCCCTAACCAACCCCACCTGCCTGGCTCACACTAACCTGATGAAGACTCCCTGTCATCAACTGCTCAGAAGGCAGGGGCCACCTGCCCGAGCCCTCTACCCCTGCCCCGCTTACACTCCAGTGGCCACCAGCAGACTGCGGAAAGCAGCTAACAGCAGAAATCCCTCGCCAACACACTCCATAGTAATTACAACCAATACAGAAAGTGACTGGGACACCACTACCCAATTTTCTGGAAGCAACCAGGAAAATGACAAGAAGAAGCAAAAGGCAGTCTCTGGCCTCCAACCCAAGCAGTACTTGTCCAGGAGATGTAAACACAGGAGAGATCAGGAGTTGCACACTTGCAGTTTTTGAAGAAACAGCAACTGAAATAAAGAAACAACTTCAAGAGGCTATAAAAGAACTTAGAAACATTATCGCAGGTAAAAGCAGAAATGAGAAACTTAATAAAAGAATTACTAAGCACCTCTAAAGAAGACACAGATAGAAGAATGCAGGAGCACAGAAAAAGGAGGGAAACCTTCAATGAAGAATATAAAAAGATATAGAATACATGAAACAGATTGAAAGAGACTACCAGGAAATTAAAAACTCCATTGAAAGCTGGCAAAACTGCTTGAAAGAAACTAAAGATAGACTGACTAAACCTTCAAGACAGGTTGGCAGCTTGGTGATCGTGAAAGGAAACATCTTTTAAAAACAAGGAACTAGGAGGTAACAATACAAAGGCTACAAGATGACAAGAGGATCTATAACTTAAGAATAAAAAATGTGAGTGAAAAAGCAGGGGTAAACACAAATGAAATACAAAGGCTATTTATAGAAATAATTAAAGAGAACTTTTCAAGAACAGGAAAAAAAAATGATATTCAGATATATGAGGCATACATAACTTCAGTCAGCTATAACCAAAATATATCTACACCCAGACATATAATAATCAAGATCCCAGAAGTGCAACACAAGAATGGAGTATTAAAAGCAGGCAGAGAAAAGAAACAGATCACCTATACAGGAAAACCCATCAAAATCACAACAGACTTCTTGACACAAACCATCAAATCAAGAAAAGCTTGGAGTGAGGTATTCCAAGTCCAGAAGGAAAATAACCTCCAACCCAGACTGATGTATCCTGCAAACCTGTCTCTCAAAATTAATGGAAAAACAAGGTATTTCCATGACAAAGAGGAACTGGGGGAGTTCATGACCTCCAAACCAATACAAACAAATACTGAAATACATTCTAGAGAGAGAGAAAAGGCCATAGTTTTAGGAACAATGGCAAAGGGGGCTCACTGAATGGGGCAACCAGTGGAATAAGGGAGAAAGTAAGACAACCAACGATAGAAAAATAACATGGCAGAGATTCAGCAGAGAAGGTTGGCTATAATCACTAGTAAAGATGGCCTCGACTCGCCAATAAAAAGAAACACTGGCAGAGTGGATCAGGAGATAGGATCTATCAATAGGCTGTATATAAGAAATACAATTAACCTGAAACAGGATTTATAGACTGAAAGTCAAAGATGAGAAAAACAATGTTCTGTGTGACAGAGAACCAGATACAAGTGGGGACAGCTTGCTCATCAGCTGCAGATTGGCTAGAAAGCCATAACACTGTTATACAATGGAAAACTAAAGCTATAAAGAAAGAAAACATTGAGGCTCTTGTAGGTAAATGGATACAACTCAAGATCATGCTCAGTGATAAAAAGGTTCAGAATCACTTACGCTATAAGCAGGCTGCTTCCCTAATCTAAAAACTAAAGGGGTTAGTGGGATGCAAAATGTACAATGCACTCTGTGAAAGTGAAAATGGAGGAACTGTCTAAAAAGGGAAGG